TTTTTTTTTTGGGGGGGGGTCTAGTTGTGGGGCCTGAACTCTGTCCCTCAGCTCTTCAGCTCAAGGCTGGCACTCTATCACCTGAACCACAGAGCCACTTCCGGCTTTTTTGTGGTGCTGAGGAATCGAACCCAGGGCCTCATGCATGAAAGGCAAGCGCTCTACCACTGAGCCACCTTCCCAGCCTGTCCGTGAGATTCTTATCTCCAATAAACCAATCAGAAAACTGGAAGTGGCACTGTGGCTCAAGTGGTAGAGAGCTAGCCTTGAGCTGAAGAGCTGAGGGACAATGTTCAAGCCCAGAGTTCAAGCCTCATGACTGACAAAACAAAAACAAAAAAACCCCCCCACAAAACTTTGAGTCTCAGCAGGAGGATTAAAGGATACCAGTTATCCTAGCACTTAAGAGAAAGTGACAGGAGGATCTTGAGCTATAGAGAGAGCTTGTTTCAAAAACCAACCAAACTAAAAGTTCAATCATCTTCACAGCAGAACTGGCTGGGTGCAGGACTGTTTAATAGAAATGCAGACTGAGGCGGGCTGGGAAGGTGGCTCAGTGGCAGAGTGCTTGCCTTGCATGCCTGAGGCCCTGGGGTCAATTCCTCAGCACCACATAAGCAAAAAGAAAAAAGCCGGAAGTGGCGTTGTGGCTCAAGTGGTAGAGCGCTAGCCTTGAGCTGAAGAGCTGACGGACAGCACCCAGGCCCAGAGTTCAGGCCCCATGACTGGACCCCCCCCAAAAATACAGACTGAGGCTAACAGAGTGATCATCAGTGCAGTGGGATGCAGCACTCACCCTCTGCAAGAAGCCATCTAGGCCACACTGTAGGCTGAAAAGACAAGTCCACTAGCCCAGCTCCTTTGCCCCAATCTCAAGGATAGGTATTCTCTGGCTAGGATGTTTATCACACAGGGGATCTGCCAGCATCAGGGGCCACAGGCAGCCTTCCCCCTGGCCCTTACCTGGTTGGGTGTCCCTGTGGGGGCCTCCTCCTCACTCTTAGATTCCTTGCTGCCCTCAGATTCTGCTTCTGGTTTAGTGGCCCTCCTGGTTGGAGTGAAGACAGCTCCCCTGATATGGGGTGTCATCACATTACCCACCTTTTCAAGGCTCAGGGCAGCCCTTCTTGCTGGAGACTCTTTAGTAGGGGCTGGCAAGGTTTTGGCTTGAGCTGGCTTTACCTGGCATCAGGAGAGAGAAGTATGAAATGAACAGACTTTGTGGTTTAGGTGGTGAAAGTACTTTAGTTCATAAAACTCCTTTCCTTCAAACCATTTCCTGAAACAGACATTACCTTCACACCCATTTTCTATGGCACGGAACACTCAAGGCCAGCTCTCATGGACCACTGATCACTAGCCTTGGGGAGCAGATTTAGTCATTTCACTTGTTCCCCTCCTGGCACACTCAGGATCTAGCCTGAGAGGGTATCCATGTGTGCTCTTTCAAATAGCTGGTATCTTGGAGGAATCTGAAGGCCAATCCTCCCCCTGGCTTGCCTACTTGCATGTTTATTTGTTTTTGCCAGACCTGGGGCTTGAACTTAGGGACTGGGCACTGTCCCTGAGCTGCTTTTGCCATTTTATCACTTGAGCTGTAGCACTACTTCTGGCTATTTCTGTTTATGTGGTACTGAGGAATGAAACCCAAGGCTTCAGGCATGGTAAGTAAGCACTCTACCATTAAGCCACAGTCCCTGCCCCACACTTGCATTCTTTTTGCGAGACTTTCTTGAAGCTTCTAAAATTCTGATATTTCCAAGGTAGTCATTCAGTGTCCTGATCCACCTCCAAGCTTGGACAGACCCACAGAACCTGGAGGTATTCTTGTCCTTCACCCTCCTTCAAACTCCTCCTTGCCATGGAGTGCTGAGAGCCAAGGATGTCCTTATGCTGGTCATATCCAGGTCCCAAAAGTGAAGAGGCAAGGCAGGAACAGCCCATACCAGGACTGTGGTAGATGGGGAAGCTCAGTCTTTACAGGGTCCCTGGGTGGTTGAGACAGCAGCCTGGGAATCACACTGATCCACTTTGACTCTAGCTGATCCCTTTTCTAAAGCAGTGTTTGAAATGGTCCCAGCTACTGGCATTTGCTGAGGCACTTCAACAGCCCCCAGCTGGCCCCACTATTCCTATTATACAACATCTTCCAAGGCCGGACATGGCCAGCAATCTTTCTGAAACACAATTCAGGCCACCTTAAAGATGGAAACTACAGTGGCTTCTCTGAGCCTCAGAATGAAACTCCTGTATTGGCCCTCCAGGCTGGGTGGTGGAGCTTCCTAATCTATACATGACGACTGCTTGTATCCCACTTTCTCTCTTACAAATTTAGTTACACAAGCTGTCTCCATCTCACCCCTTCACTGTGCTCCAAGGCCTGTATGGCATCTCATTCCCATAACCCTGGCCTTCTGTTATGTGGTGTGCCATGAGCAGCCCCAGATTCCTCCTAACTGCAGCCACAACCTTTCCAACTTCTAATCTGATTTGGTCATGGAGGTTTGAGCCCCACCAGTGTCCTGTAGGATCAGAGAAGGAAACTCCTGAAGATGGGTGGCAATTACCTCGACGTCTGTCTCATCACTTGAACTGGTGGTGTCTTCGCTGGAGTTGCTGGCCTGGGTCACTGACAGCTTTCCTAAAGGGTGGACATGAGACATTAAGGGACACCCTCTCCCACCCACCCGCCCTCCCTAGCACCTCTGTAACGCCAGCTGCTAGTGAAAGCCCAGTTCAGCACTTGCTACTCCTGTCCAGAGTATAGGTCTACTGTCTCCTATGCAACCTCCCCCACCCCGCCCCAAGTGGGGGCCCTTCATTATCCCTGTTTTCCTGCACAGCTCTAAGGACCTCTTAAGGCCAGGATAGGACCTTAGAAACATGCTCCAGGACCTGATAGTTTGTAAATCTCCATTTGCTATTATGTCCATGGAAGTAGGCAAGAATGTCATTTATGTAAAAATGGAGACCAATTCAGGCCTTTCCACTTAAGTCTCTGCACCACCACAGTAGTCCTTGTGTCCTGCCCGAAAGAGAGGAGTCAGAGCATGCTCTGGCTACCCCTCTGAAAAGCTCCAGCAGTGTCCATGGAGCTGACCCAGGAGTCAGGAGAAGGGAAATGGCCCGAGGTGCAGGAGCCTCCTGTCATACAGACAAACTTCTGGATTCCAGAGTGTCTCAGAGCTTAACAAAGCAGAGCTTCAGCCATATCAGTCTAGGCTCCAGCCCTAATTCTGAGCAACTGGATCTTTGAGGTGGGGGCTTCTCACCAGGCCTGGCAGTGGTTCTGAGGGTCTGAACACTGCCTTCCTCCTCAGTTTCTGGGGCCAAGATGATACTTGCTGAGGGCTCTGCAGCCTTCTTGGGTGACTTTCCAGAGAGCAGATGGATCAGTGCTTTCCCCGAGTCAGCATGTGGCATGGAGTTCACTGTCTTGCTGGTAGTCTTGGTCTTTGCCTATATGGAAAAGAGGGCCAGGAACATCTTGCATGGCAGGATGTTTGAGAAGCTCAGCCTGCTGTGTGTGGACCTGACAAGGCTACTCCTAGTTGGGTGTGTTTGGGTAACCTGCCTCCTTGAGCCTCACACTTCATCTTCATAATTCCTTTTAGATTACTGCTAATGTTCAAGCTGCAGGGACACATACCTTTCTATGTCTGTAACACTTTATGAATTACTAGAAAATGCCATTCTATATTATTACTTATTTTTAATTTATATTTTGATTGGTGAATGCATAACCTTATGAATATCCTACTTCTTAATAGTTTCTTTTTTGGCCAGTCCTGGGGCTTGAACTCAGGGCCTGGGCACTGCCCCTGAACTTCTTTTGCTCAAGGCTAGCAATCTACCACTTGTGCCACAGTGCCACTTACAGCCTTTTCTGTTTATGTGATACTGAGGAACTGAACCCAGGGCTTTGTGCATGCAAGGCAAACACTCTACCACTGAGACACATTCCCAGCCCTCTAATTTCTGACGTAGAAAATGCTATTAAATGCCGGAAGCTAGTGCTTCATGACAATATCCTAGCTGCTCAGGAGGTTAAGATCTGAGGATTGAGATGTGAAGTCAGCCTCACCGGGTAGATCTGAGACTCTTAATCTCCAGCTAACCAGTAAAAAGCTAGAAGTGGAGGGAAGGTTTGAGTGGTAGGGCACCAGCCATGAGTTTGAAAAAGCCAAGAGAGAGCTCAAGGGTCTCAGTTCAAGTCCTAGTACAAAAAAATAAAATTTAAAAAATGTTTAAAAAAAGGAAAGAAAGGATATGAAGAAAATGTCATTAGAGTTTTAGAAACCCAAGTGCCTTGTTTACCAGTGTCTCCACTATCTGGACTTCACCTGGGGTTGAATCCTTTGACTAGAACTCACGAGGTATTAGCAATGTGCTCCTCAGAAGATGGGAGTGCAAGGATGACGGAGGAATGAAAATGCAAATCCCAGGTGCAGGATGTGTCTGGTGGTCCACTACAGAGCCCGAGTGGACCCCATCTTACAGAAAAGGAAAGAGATCTAGAGAGGCACACAGACTCACTAAGACCATGCTGGCCAATCTCTGAATCCCAGTTGGGCAAATACAACCCTATCCTTCTCAATCTAAGGTGATTATTCTCTACTGGGCACTTCCAGACCCACAGGCAACAGTTTGAAAAGTGGTCCCACTCACCTGGACCTTTTCTTTCAGATTTGATGGAAAATCCACTCCTATCATTGAAGAGTTGGTAGATGCTACTCTTAGGGCTGCAAAACACAAACAAATACAGGTAAACGAACCAGGTAGGTTTTTCTCATCTAGGACAGCTAGGCCAGGCCTCACCTAACAATTCAATTGGTACTGGTTGCCTGATGCTGAGCCCACACTTGCAGGAAAGAGTGCTGTGATACATTAGCCACGCCCACCACAGTCACATGAGAGATACACTTGCACCTTTTAAGGGACTTCCCATGTGCCTGGTAATGTAAGATGCTGAGGCCTCTAGAGGGAAAGAACTGGCTCACATTCCTGCCACCCCTACACAACTCTGGTGGGTGCCTTCCACAGCAGCTGGTACACAGTAGCCCTGAAAATCCTCAGCAGGAAGGTACAGCAGTTAGCTCCATGTCCACAGAGAAAATGCTTGGAAATCAAGTGACTCCTTTTTCTTTTTTATTAGCAAGATTTTTTTATTTTATTAAAAAAATTTTTTTAAAGTATATTAGGATAAAGCAAAGATAAATGGGGGAAAAGAGAGAAATGCTTCCTGCTACTTATACAGGAGATGGAAGTACATAACTTTGGATGATTTCCTAATAAAGAGGTGGTTGAACATGAGTCTGGGTCTACTTAGATGTAGAGATTTATAGATTATTAATGCTTTAAACAAAATTATAGATAACTTCCTCTTCCATCCTAGACAGACAAGACTTTTAAGCTGTTATTACAGAGAATGTTGCTGAAATGAATGGAATGATCTAATTCTCTTCCTGGTACTTAAAACTTTCTCTTTTGGCAATTACAGAAAAGTTGAAACATAGTCAGAAGTTATAAGAAAGTAAAATTAAACTCAGCTTTATTCACTATCAGCTTGTGGCCAACTTAGTTCATCCGTTGTGTACCTATGCTACCCCATCCTGCATGCCCCAGGTCTTCCTGGGGATGGACACTGTTCTGTGACAGCTGGGGTATACTGCTCACGTTCCCTTTTCCCAGGAAGATCACTTATCTAAAAAATGCTAGACGTACTGACATGTTGTCCATAAATATGTTAACTTATTTCTCTCAAGAAGAACCCCAAAAAAGTGTAAGTCCAACTCTATTATCATAGCTTTAAAAATTGATTACATTTAGCTGGGCACTAATGGCTCACGCCTGTAATCCTAGCTACTCAGGAGGCTGAGATCTGAGGATCATGGTTCAAAGCCAGTAAAGTCCATGAGACTCTTTATCTCCAATTAACCACCAGAAAACCGGAAGTGGCACTGTGGCTCAAGTGGTAGAGTGCTAGCCTTGAGCTGAAGAGCTCAGGGACAGCGCCCAGGCCCAGAGTTCAAGCCCCATGACCAAAATAAATAAATAAAATTTTTGATTAAATTTAGTAGCCTGTCAGTATGGAGTGATACTGTCTGAACACAAGCATGTGTGAATGGCTATTTGACAGTGGATGCAGAAGGTTTACAGGCTACCCACAGATATGCAAACAAGGAAGGGTTTAAGAAAGAAACTTCCCTTTTTTTCTATGTTTTTGTAAAGTTTAACATAAATTTTTTTTCATTTGTAATTTTAAAAGATTATACAAGATATAAATATACATCCAGTGTGATCACATGGCATTTGTTTGGTTTGGTGCCATTCCTGGTGCTTGAGCTTTTGTGCTCAAGGCTAGCACTCTACCACTTTAGCCACAATTCACTTTCACCTTTTTGGTGGCTAACTGGAGATAAGTTTCATGGACTTTCTACATGGGCTGGCTTTGAACCATGATCCTCAGAACTTAGTCTCCTGAGTAGCTAGGATTACAGGTGTGAACCGCTGGGCCCAACTTACAAATACTTTTAAAAACAGATTCTGGATACCCTGCTCAAGCCTGTAATCCTGGCTATTTGGGAGGCAGAGATCTGGAGGACTGTGGTTCTTTATGAGTTCATCTCAATCAATACCTGAATGCATACACCTGTCATCCCAATTATGTGGGACAAAGTACTAGTAGGAGGATCTTGGTCCAGATTAGTGAGGCAGAAAGCAGGACCTTATCTCAAAATTAACCAATACAAAGAGTTGGCAGGATGCCTCACTGCTTGAGTGGTAGAGAGCCTGCCTAGCAAGTATGATGTCACAAGTTCAAACTCCAGTACTGCCCAAAACAAAACAAAACACCACAGGCTCTGGAAAAATAAATAAAATTTGCTCAATTATAGGAGGCAAAAATATCAGTTAATTATTTTGTTTGTTTCAAAGATAGGGTCTTGTTATACAGCCTGAACTACCCTAGGACATGCTATGTAGCACAGGTTGGCCTCAAACTATTTACTCATCTTCTTGCCCAAGTGCTGAAATTAGAAGTATACATACATAGGGGCTGGGAAGGTGGCTCAGTGGTAAAGCGCTTGCCTTGCATGCCTGAGGCCCTGAGTTCAATTTCTCAGCACCACATAAGCAAAAACAAAAAAGCTGGAAGTGGTGCTGTGGCTCAAG